TGTAAGTGACAAGTGAAAGGCTTGGAATCTGAGGAGAGCTTTCAGTAAATCACGGGGTTGGGGAAACAAAAATTGGAGTCCTTCTGAGGAGGAGGTACCATGGCAAACATCTCAGACTTTATGTGGGGACCCAGGGAAAAGGGTGAACTATACCATCAACTGATTTCAACATTATTTTTCTTCATGTTTGACCACCCGCCCCCCCCCCCCCAAAAAAAAAAAAAAAAAAATCCTGGAGCACAAGAAAAGAAATCATAGCTAAAATCAAGAAGCAGTAGACCATAAAAACAGACTTGGAAGATATCTAGTTAATAGTCACTTAATATGAACTTTAACTATGATGATTGTATCATGGAATTAATAGTTGAGATTGAGAATTTCAGCACAGCGCTAGAAACTTTTAAAGAGGAATCAGTGCAGATTCTAGAACTTGAAAACAGAAGAACTGAAATTAAAGACTCAATAGAAGGACTTAAAATCAGCAGGAAAGGAGAAAATTTATTACTACATTTACATCATAAAATACATCTGATTCCTCCCACTCCCACTAGTACTTCAAATTCCAATTACACTGGAACTTGAGGAGTGTCCTTATATATAATTTTTACTATTTAGTAACAGTATGTTGAAATCCAATTGAGGATTCAGAGAAGAATATATTAATAGTGAGACAGATATTTACCAGGTAATATTCCAGTGTGGTATCAGAGTAGAGGTGTATTAGGATTGGATGAAGAGATGTCTGCAAGTTAAGGTACGAGGACTGAGATAGATAGGTGTAGGTGTAATAGCAGGTTTAATTCTCAGAGCAGATATTGTTTGAGGGAGCTGTAATTTCCCTCTATGTACGCAAGCATAGAGCTAGGTTTCAACTTAGCAGTAATTTGTTGGCCCATAAATTCTAACAGCACTAGAAAAGTGCTTCATTCTTGGTGTCCTCATTTGTTTTTTCAATTTGAGTATACGGTTTCATAGAAACTAGAACCTCCATAAATTATTGATTATGGAGTAACATTAATATAAGCTAATGATTCCATTTTATATTTTAATTGGAACTCTTTAGTAATATCATTAATAATAATCTCAGAACATGAAATGCCTTTAACTGTTATCAGAGAGTTTGAGAATGGTGTTATGTTGAATATTAACATGTTTTTTTCCCCCTTTACAGGCCACCTCCACCACAACCTAAAGTATCATCTCAGGGAAATTTAATTCCTGCTCGTCCTGCTCCTGCACCTCCTTTATATAGTTCCCTCACTTGATTTTATATCCTTCTTTTTGCAAATGTCTTCAGGGAAGTGAGCTGATACTTTTCTTTTCCTGACATTTTCTTGAAAAGCCTTTCTTCCTTTTGCAACTATGAGTGAAAACAAAATATCACAAAACAAACTTTACTAACACAGAAAACCAGAAATGGAGCGGGGAGTTGAGAAATACAAGGAAATGCAGTTAAGCCAGGGAATTTAGAGTAACATTTCCATTGCCATCACTGAATGCGTCTTATCTGATCATCTATGATGTTAATGCACTTAACATGAATCATGTTATTTTGTACATGTCATTACAGTGATTCTCAAATTCACTGTATTGTTGTAAGATTTGTCATTATTTGCTTAAATGTAATCTTGAATTTTTGACCTTAGTTATCATTAATGTAGCTTTTGGTGGAACATGTGGTAATCTAATACCTATGACAATTGACTAATTAACTGCCAATATTTTCTAATACTTTCATCTTGCACGGATTAATAATGATAGTATACTAGAATTTTGTCTCTCATTCACTACATGAATAAATAAATATTCTGTCTTCAGAATGCACACGAGCCACAATTAAGATATTATATTATTTTGAAAGTACAAACTATGCTAAAAGAATGTGTGTATTCACACTCAATTATTAGCTTCCCTTTTTATGATTGTCAACTATAAATGACTATTAGAAAAATTAATTTAATATTAGAATTTCTGTTATGCATCATGTTAAAGCACGGCATCCTTTCACAGTAGCATTATTTTAAATTATAAGCTTTAAGGTACGAGGTATTTAATAGATCTAATCAGATATTCTGTTGACTCATGGCTATAATAAAGCAGGAGCAATTATAATATGTTCAATCAGTTGAGCTATTGTAAAACCACTTGAGAATTTCATGAGCACTTTAAGTATAAAATCTGAATTTTCAAAGCTTGATATTAAATCATTTAGAATGTTTACATTTACTATGGTGTGCTAGATCCTGTCTCTTTGACTCTAATATTTTCATAAAAATTAGACTGAGAAAGGAAGAAAAGGTTTTCTTAGATAAGTACTAAACTTAATATGGTATCTGTGAGTTATTAGCTGTGTTAAAAATGAATTTTTACTATGGAAGAAATGGTATGGACAACAAAATTTTAAAAACTTAAAATTTTTTCATAACCTTTCATAATAAAGTTTAATAGGTTTATTAACTGAATTTCATTAGTTTTTAAAATTTTTTTGTTTGTGTATATACACATATGGAAATATAACATTTACAATAAATAAAATACTTGAAATTCTTTTGTCTTCCAGTAACTTCCTCAATACTCAACTATGTCTATTCTTATTAATTTAAAAGTTATAATTTTAGATAAAATCCTAATCAGACTTTTGCCAAATTATGCACAATGGCTTTGTTATTAAAGGAAAGCAGATTTGTTTTGAAGAAGATGAAAATTTCAGTTCTTTAAGGATAGCTCATTATTTTAGTAGTCAGGTACATATCAAACATTGTGAGCCATCTCAAATGAAGTATCTTCATTTTAATTTAAATCTTGGAATGAATTTACATAGACTAAAATGTTTGTCCTTTCACTCATCTTGCCTCAGTTTTTGCAGATGTAATGCATATCATTTGAAATTTTACAGTCAGTAATGTGTTAACTATGGAATGTTACGCTGCTCTTGGAGTTAGATAATTCCTGTATCTTTGACTAAAGTTTTTATTTTTACTTTTTTTTTTTTTGCACTGGAGATTGAACCCATGGATGCTTTACCACTGAAGTAAATCCCCAGCTCTTTAAAAAAATTTTTTTTAAATTTTGAAACAGGGTCTTACTAAGTTGCTGAGGTCTGTCTCAAACTTGTGATCTTCCTGAGTCTGGGTTTACAGGCATGCACTACCATGCCTGGTTTTTCTAAAAATTTATTTCATCTGAATTTCTTTTGCTTTAAAAGATTTCTACATACTTTGTATGTTTTTCACTTAGATTTGCCCTTGAATTATTCTGAAATATGATTAAAAATTGTAAAATTCCTTGGTCATCCAGCCCATTATGAGAAATATGAAAGTATTAAAAGACTTTCTTGTCATGTGTTAAAGAATAATAATCAAGGATAAATTACATATAAATTTGATATCACAGACTAAGTTCACAAACTGACCTTGTTCAGGTTGATGAATTTCCCCTTAATAGCCTGAGTCTCTAGCTGTATAGTTAAGCACAATCTAGGTTTTCTAAGCAGAAATCAGATTTTATTAGATTTTGTATGTCTCTTGAAGACTTAACTTCTGGCAAGTACTCTCTTATGTACAGTGATATGTAAGTTGGGTGGGAGGGGGAATATGTTTCCTGCCCTTTAGAAGTATATATATTATGGAGAGAGCCATACATACAAGTAAGAATGATACAAAAGTCTAGCCCAGCACTGTGGCTGGCCCACGCTTGTAATCCCAGCAGCTCAGGAGGCTGAGGCAGGAGTATCGTGGGTTCAAAGACAGCCTCAGTAACAGCAAGGTGCTAAGCAATTCAGTGAGACCCTGTCTCTAAATAAAATACAAAATAGGGCTGAAAATGTGGCTCAGTGGTTGAGTGCCCCTGAGTTTAATCCCCGTACCCCCTCCCCCCGACAAAAAAAAGATACAAAGTCTGTTCTATTAAAAATACAAAGGTTGAAAAAAAATACAAAGGTTGAAAGAAAAAGAAAAAACTAGAAATTCATTCAAATATCTCTTAACTGACAAGTGTAAGTAAGCATTTACCACTACTAATAGTTCTAATTGCTATGAAGCAGGGCAAAACCAACTTTGGCTTAATTGCCGCTCAAAAGCAGTGTTAGTCTAGCATTAGCTGATCCTGTGGGATTCAGGTGAGGTGTATTTTCTTTTGTTGTTGTTGCCTTGGTTTTGCTTATGCTTTTACAGGTTTAGGGCCCTGTTGATATGTATTCATAAAATCACATCTCAACAAAATGTGTTGATTTGCCTACTGAATGCCTCTGTTTCCATGGGGCCTTTTAGGTTGTGTGTCTGCCTTTCTAATAATTAGTATGAGAGAGAAATGAATTCCTGCTTTGGGGATTTGAAAAGAATTAAAGGATAATTCATGCATTATAGATGGAACCTGGGGGTGACTGGGAGGCAGGAGGCTCTGCATTGCAAGGAAATAAGGCAATGTTTAGGAAAAGCCAGAAGTCAAAGCAGCAGAAATACTGAGCACAGAGCAAGTAGTTGGCAGACTGGGGTGTGAATTTAGAAAAATTTAAATTTTGTACTGAGGCATTTGGCTAGGTTTCCTACTGGAATAGAAGTACTGTAATTGTGTTAAGAATCTTGTCTGTTACTACATGAATGAGAGTATATTTGTTACTTTGAGAAGTTTCTGAAGAACATGAATTTTTGCCTGATTGGAGAAAAAATGCCACAGCCTTTTTATGAACTCTATAATGAGCTTTTTGAGTGGGGAAATTAAAAACAACAACAAAAACATAGCAGGCTGTTATGATTTGGCTATGTGGTAGCCTCCCAAAGCTCTGTATATTTTAATGCAGGAATATTAAGAGGTGAAGTGCTTAGATTATCAGAGCTGTAACCTAATCAGCCTATCCTAGTTTAAATGAGCTGACTGGGTGGTAACTGTAGGCAGGTGGGGCCTGGCTGGAGGAAAGGGTCACTGGAAGCTGCGCTGGAAGGGTACATTTTCTTTTTGGCCCCTTCCCCATTCTCTCTCCCTCTCTGGTTCTTGAACCCATCATGAGCTTTCCTCCGCTGGGACCTTCCCCCATGATGCGGCCTCACCTTCAGCCCAGACCAATGGAGTGGGTGGACCATGGACTGAGATCTCTGAAACCCTGAACCCCAAATAGACTTTCCCTCCTCTAAATTGTTCTTGCAGGGTATTTTGCTTTCGGTGGACAAACAGCTAACACACTGGCTGTCTCCAAAAAAGTGTAAATTGACTCATTCTTCTTCAATTTTTTTTTTTTTTTAAATCTTAGAAGCTTAGCTTCAGCAATTATGAATATATATGTATATTTAGGTGAACAGTTGTACCCCAGGATCTCACGCATACCAGGCAAAGTTCTACCACTAAGTCACACCCCCAACCCCTGCGTGTAGCTTTTAATTCAGAACATATTACACATCTGCTTTTTAAAGCACCTGGGAAGTGTTTGCTACTGAAGAGGGAGAAGTTTGTGGGGACCACAGCCACGAGGAGGAGCGGCGCGGCGGGGAGCTGGGGGATTTGGCGCGTGGGCGTACCTTGCGGGCGGTTGGGGCAGGGGGCGCAGTGCACCCCGGCCTCCGGGCTCGTGCCCCCCCCATGTCCCCGCCCCACAGCCCAGACAGCAGGTCGCGGCCCAACGGCCCCAGCCAGTCCCCGCTCAGAGCCGAGGAACCAGACCATGTTCCGCCTGATGGTGCTGCTTGCTGGGCTCGGTGGCTTGTTCACGTCAACATCCAGTAAGCCAAAGGAGATACTGTTCTCGGGTGAGGGGCCGAGGAAGGACTTTCCTCTTTGAATGTGTGCTGCTGTCCTCCAGTGGTGACCCATGGAGCCAAAGCTCGCGTCACCTTGGAAACCGGGCCTCCTCTGATTACTCCCCTGGGCCAGAGAAGCGACTCGTAGGGGGCAATATAATTTTGATAAGCTCAAGGACAAATCTCTATTCTGAATCTGAATTTGGGGACTACCTTTCTTTGGCTCTGTCATTCATGTCCAAATCTCAAGTTTTCAGGCTCTTCAAAAAGTACTTCAGAAACTTCTTGAACTCCAAACTCAACAAAACAAACAAAAACCCAAAACCCTGACTGCTGGGAAAACTGTTTGTTCCAAAATAAAAGATTGTGCTGCATACAATAATAATTTGTCCTGAAATAAATTAAAAAAAAATTCAGTGAAGATGCAAAGGTACTAAGGAGAGATAAGAACATTGGGAAGAGGCCTCACAAATTTAAAACAGAGCTAAGGAGGATTAGATGCCTGTAAAATATTTTGATACTTATTTTTATTCTTTACCTTTTTACACCTTGTTCTGAATCTTGCCATCTGTGTCAGCACATGGAGTGCCTTTCCCCTTTCATCTCTCTAATGTTCTATTATTTGGAAGTAACCAATTTAGCAGTTTTTCTATTAATGAACTTTTGGATTATTTACAATCTATATTAGCTCCAGCTGCCTTAACAAAATACCATAGACTGTATAGTTGAAAAGACCGAAATGAATTTTCTCACAGTGGGGGGTCTGGAAGGCCAAGAGCAGAGTATGGCATGGTTAGGTTTTAGTGATTCCCCCCCTCCCCTGGCTTATAAACAATTGCCTTCTACATGTGTACTCCCACATGACCTCTCTGTGTCAAGCTTTCTAGGTCTCTTCTTATAAGGGTATTAATCCCAACATAAGGGTCCTACAGTATGACCTCATCTGACCCTAAGCACTTCCCAGAGGCCATCACTAAATACTGTCACACTGGGACTTAAGGATTCAGCATGAGAATTTTGTGGGGTTGCATTCAGTTTATATACCACACGAAATATTTTAATGCAGTGGTTGTTAAACTTTTTGGATTCAGAATTTCTTTACACATTAACAGTTTTGGAGATCCTCAAAGACTTTTTGTTTATGTGTGTTTATATATGTCAATATTTATCATATAATAAAATAAAATAGAAATTCAAGAATGTATATTAACTTATTTTAAAATAAAAGGACTAGACTTATTTGTTAACATAAGTAACATACTTTAAAACGAATCATATTAAAAAATAGAACAGTGTAAAATGTAGACATTTTTGTAAATCTCTTTAACATCTGCCTTAATTGAAGACAGCTAGATCTTGTATCTTCTGCTTTCAGTCTCTTGCTGAATGTTTCATTTGATGTGTATGTGAAGAAAATCTAGTGTATGTATTTGAAAAAGGGAGGAATTTTTTTGATAGCCTTTTCGGATAATTGAGGATATTCTCTGGTTATTATGCAAAACTTGACAAATGGTTGACAGATCTGTTTTTAGTATAATGTATAAATTATAACATGCCAATTACTGTTGACTTTTAAGAGTTCTTTGTGTGCTTTGAATAATAGTCCTTTATTGGATGTGTTTTTTGCAAACATTTTCCTCCTAATCTGTGGCTTGTCTTCTCATTCTCTTTGCATTGTCTTTTATAGAGCTGAAGTTTAAAAATATTTTTCTGTGCTTTTTATCATCATATCTCCTCCCATTCTTCATTTAAAAGTTTTTCAATAATACAGAACACTCTTATTTACTATAGTAACCATGTTGAATAATAGATGTCTGGAAGTTTTATTTCTAAAATTATTGTACCCTTTGACCAACATCTCCTCCTCCTCCTCCCATCCCTGCCCTGGTAACCATCATTCTGCTTTTTGCTTCTTTGAGAACTCAACTTTTAAAGATTCCCACATATAACTGAGTGCCTGTGGAATTTGTCCCTCTATATCTGGCCTATTTCATTTATCATAATGTCCTCCAGGTTCACCCATGTTACAAATGACAGGAGTCCTCCTTTTTTCAGGCCAAATAGCATGATGTTATGTATATGTACCACGTGTTCTTCATCTACTCATCTGTTGTTGAACACTTACAACGCTGCAGTGAACACGGGAGTACATATGTTTCTGTGAGGTGCTGATTTCATTTCCTTTGACATATAGCCAAAAAAGGGATTATTGGATCCAGGTGAAACTTAATACCAGATAGATCATCAACACTAGTTGAATTTACATTACTTTTTAAATTTTAATTGACACACAGTAATTGAACATATTTATGGGGTACAATGTAATAATTTGATATGTGTATATAATGTGTAACAATAAAGTCAGAGTAATTTTCATGTTTGTTTCCTTAAACATTTATTATTTCTTTGTGATGGTAACCTTTTAACTCCTATTTTCTAGTTATTATAAAAAATGTAATAAATTGTTGTGAACTATAGTCACTCTAACGTGCTATAGAAATTTGAACTCATTTCTCCAATGTAATTGTATTTTGGTATCCATCATCCAACCTCTCTCTACCACTTCTCCCCCCATCTTTCTAACATCCAGTAACATTGTTCTACTCTTAACTTCTATGAAATTAATAGTTTTAGCTTCCATATATTTTGAGAACATGCAGTATTTTTTCTTCTGTGTCTGGCTTATTTTACCTATCTTAATTGTTTCCAGTTCCACCATGTTGCTGCAAATGATAGGATTTCATTCTTTTATGGCTGAATAATATCCCATTGATCCATTGATCTGTTGATGAACATTTTGGTCAATTCCATATCTTGGCTATTGTGAAGAAAGAGTACTGCAATAAACATGGGAGTGCTGGTATCTGTTTGATACACTGATCTAATTTCCTTTGGATGTATATCCAGTAGTGGGCTTGCTGGATCATATGACAGTTCTGTTTTTAGTTGTTTGAGGAGCTTCCATATTGTTCTCTATAATGGCTATACTAATTTACATTCTCACAAATGGTGTAGAAGATTTCCCTTTTTTTCACATCTTCACCAGCATTTGTTATTTTTGTCTTTCTGATTATAGCTGTTCTAATTAGAGCAAGATGATAATCTAGTTGTCATTTCGATTTGCATTTTCCTCATGATTTGTAATATTGAGAATTTTTTATACATACTTGTTGGCCACTTGTATATCTTTTTTTGAGACCTGCATATTCAGATCATTTGCCTATTTTAAAATTGGATTATTGTTTTTTTTTTCTGAGAAGTTTTTGATTTTTAATTAAGTGCAGTTTATCAATGATTTCTTACCTTTGATTTTTGTACCTAAAAAAATCATCACCAGGCTCAGGGTCCTCTAGATTTTCTCTTTGCTATCTTTTTAGGAATTTTGTAGCTTTGCATTTTATATTTAGGTCTAATCCATTTTGAGTTAATTTTTGAGAAGTGTTTAAGGTAACGGATAGAATCTTTTTTCTCTCTCTCTTTAATGTTTCAGCATCATTTATTTAATAATGTATCATTGCTTCATTGTATTACCTTTGCTCCTTTGTCAAAGATCAGTTTATTAATGTGGTTCTCATTCTGGGCTTTTTTTCCTGTCCCATGATCTAATTTCCTGTTCTTTCTCTAATAGTATATTATCTTGATTGCTTTAAATCTTGAGGTTCAAATAATATCAGCCCTCTTACTGTTCTTCAATATTAGGTTGGTTATTTTGGGTCTTTTGCCTATTCATGTAAACTTTAGAACAATTTTGTTGCAATCCTCAAAATACTTGTGGAAATATAGACCAAGTTGGGAAGAATTGACATCATAACAGGGTTGGCTCTTTCTATCCCTGAACACAGATTTTAGTTATTCTTTGATATCTTTCATTAGGGCTTTATAGTTTGCTTCATATGGATCTTATACATCTTTTTAGATATACCTGTTTCATTTTGGGGGGTGTTAAGGTAAATGGCAATGGGCTTTTAATTTCAGATTCCACTTTTTACTAGTTTATTGGAAAGGAATTGGCATTTGTGCATTAACCCTATATCCTATGTCCTTTATATCTTAACCATATTTAAATATATAGTTTTGTACTGTCAAGTACATTCACATCATGTAGCCCATCTCCAGAAGTCTTTTCATCTTATACAACTAAAACTCTGTAATCAGTAAGCATTAAAAATTGTAGTAAAAATATAATACACATACATACTCATAATACACAATTTACCATTTCAACTATCTTTAAGTGTAAAGTTCAGTGGCACTGAGTACATTTACACTGTTGTGTATTTTTGAGAAGTGTTTGAGGTAATGAATAGAATCCTTTTTCTCTCTCTCTTTAATGTATCCTTCATGTTATCTGTAGAACATTTTTCATCTTCCCAAGCTGAAACTCAGTGCATATTAAACACTAGCTCCCCATTCTCTCCTCCCCCAACCCCTGGCAAGCACCATTTTATTTTTTGTCTGTATGAATTTGAGTACTTTAGATACCTCACGTCAACCTAAGCAAAAAACAGAGTGATTGACTAAGGAATACTGACGTTTATATGGGAACAGCAGAGTACTACAATGCGGATATGCATGCCATAGCAAAATATGGGTATATTCAAAGAGATTGAGGCAAGAGGATATTTATAAAGGTAAAAAGGAAGCACACTCCATCAATTATTCCAAAACAATAATCTTTGGCAACTGTGATTAATGACAGGAGTGGCATCAATTTGGTGTTGAGCAAACAACTGCCGGGCAGATGTCCTGGTAGAGTATGTTTAGTATAAGTTGGGTGCCCTCTTTGCAAGCTTGCGGTTCTCTCTTTCTTTCTCTCTCTCTCTCTCTCTTTTAAATTCTTATTTTTTTAAATTTTATTTTGTTATATGACAACAGAATGCATTACACTATATATATTACATATATAAAGTACAATTTTTCATACCTCTGTTTGTACGTGGTTCTTTTTTGTGATGATTTTTATTTGTTTAAAATTTTTATTTTTTTTAGTTGTATTTGTACACAATACCTTTATTTTGTTTATTTATTTTTATGTGGTGCTGAGGATCGAACCCAGGGCCTCGCACGTGCTAGGTTGAGTGCTCTACCACTGAGCCACAACCCAGCCCCTTTGTGATGGTTTTTAATCAGACAATCATGTATAAGAACTCTTTCTTCATAGCCTCCCACCCTTATTTAATTTTTTTGGTTAGGGTTGACACATGACTTAGATTGGATTCTAACAACTTTCACATTCATATAATTGGAATCATGTAGTATCTCTCTTTGAAACTGGCTTATTTCTCTTAGCATAATATTCTCAGGGTTTTTCCATGTTGTAGCATGTGTTAGAATTTCCTACTTTTAAAGCTAAGTAATATTCAGCCTTAATATATATCACTTTTATTTATCTACTCATCCTTTGATGGACACAGGGTTGCTTCTGTCTTTGGATTATTGTGAATAATGAACATGAGTGTATCTTTGAATCCAGCTTTTATTTTTTTTTGAATATATACTTAAAAATGGAATTGGGGATCGTATAATAATTCCACTTTTAATTTTTTGAGGAGCAATTATATTGTTTTCAATAGTAGATGTCATCATTCTAGATTTCTACCAATAGTAAAGAAGTGTTCTAATTTTTCTGTGTTCTCATCAATATTATTTGCCATTTTTTCTTTCAATTGTTATCATAATGGGTATGTGAGGTGCTATCATGTATGTTAATTTACTGTTTGCATATTTTCTTTGGAGAATGTCTATTCAAGTACTTAGGTCATTTTTAATCAGGTTTTTGTTGTTGTTATCCATGCATTTTAAGATTTTTTTTTCCGTAGTACTTATCACTACTGTTACCACTTTTAAGTTACACCACATAAGTTGGTATACCTAATACCTAGAAAAGTGCCAGCACTCAAAGAAATATTTTGTGTTGATAGAAAAGATAGAGAGAGAAGGAGAGGGTAGGGAGGGGAAAGGCTAAGAAGGAGAAGGTTGGAGGGGAGAGAGGGAAGGAAGGATGGGAGGAAGGAAGGAAGCAAGGTAGAGATTGGTACATACCACACAACACAGGTCTTCTGAAGAAATTATTTTCATGCTTTTTATTCTCTGCCTCTAATAAAGTTTTGAGACTGTTAGGTTACTTATTTGAATTTATCCACAGTACAAATATTAATTAGTTAATGTTGACTAACATACATTTAAAATATATGAATAAACTCTTATTTATCAGAGGGACATTTAACAATATTCCATTTCTTTTTGCAGTACTATGGATCAGGGCCATGCTTGGCAAGTGCTCTGCCTCTGAGCATCGTCCCCTTCATTTCTTTTTGAAATAATATTGTCCTTATAGTTGGGAAGAGAAAATAAACATAAATGTACCTGTACTATTGACCCAACAATTTCTCTCCTAGGTATACACCCAAAAGAAATGGAAACATCTGTCTACATAAAATCTTGCACACAAATGTTTACAGCAGCATTATTTATAATAGCCAAAATTTGGAAACAACCCAGAGGTTTGTAAATTAATGAGTGGATAAGCAAACTTTGTTATATGCATATGATGGGGTATTATGTAGTCATACAAAGGAATGATGTTCATGATATATGTATGCGGCAACATGAATGGACCTTGAAAACATTATGCCCATGAAGGAAGCCAGGTACAAAATGTCATATTTTGTGTGATTCAGTTTATATTAAATATTCACACTAGGTAAATCCACAGAGATAGGAAGCAGATTAGAGCCTGTCAAGGAATTGGTGGGATGAGGGAATTGATGTGAACACATCATCTCCGATTGCTAAGCAAGATCCCTCAGCTAACTGGACCATGTAGCAGTTTGGAACTGGCATTTTCCATTGAAGTTTAAATGTCTCTCATATAAATAAAAAATTAAAAGATGACAACCAGAATGTCTTGCACTGTAGTTATACATATGACTTACAGTTCAACATAAGCATCCAGATATCCTTCATATACAGATAGATGGCATCTTGACAAAGAAATGTTGCCTATATTCATATGTACCTTTCAGAGCAAATAGAGGATGAGAAAAGGTGGGATTTGCAAGGAGCACAGAGTGCAATGACTACTTCCAGTGTTATATAGAAAAGGATTCTGGGCTTGGGTTTAGATTTAGTGTAAAAACGATGATAACTGCTAGAATGTGAAGTGCCCTCTTGATTGTCAATTTTATTGCAATTTTAAAGGTAACCACTATGTTTATCAATTTGGTGATACTTTTACAGATTTTTCTTTATATAATTAGATATAGAATTATAAAAATACATGTTCTTTTTGAAGTAATGAATTCTGTATTTATGAATGATGAATGCATGTTGCATATATTCATGTAGATCATCTATTTTTATTTACTTTATATGGAGACAAGTGCATGGAGTACTGCATACATGGCATACATTAAGGGCATGGGTGGCAGGCCACTCCCCTCGTGCTAGGTACGTGAGCAGCAGACCACTTACCCCATAGGCACAGCCCTGGGCATGAGGCCATGTGTTGCAGTCCCTGTGTTTACTCTACAGCCTGCTTGATTGGTCGCTGCAAGGACAGTTAGCAAGAAAGTGTATTGGTGGCTGCCTATAATCAGCCTAGCTACTGCCTGAGTATATATACATGGTAACTGCAAAAAAATCAGACCCGCTTCCTGCTTGGTCTCCGGAGGTCTTGATTAGTGAGTGACTCCACAGCCACATGCTCTTCTACCCTGTTCTGTGGTCCTCTTTGCTGGGCGCGAGAGAGCCCACACAACTTTGGATATGAATTATTTGTTATATATCTTACACAGGTTGTTTTTAAGCTTGCAGTTTACCTGAGAAACCAAGATACTCATGGTATCTTGGTTTTCATATTAGGTTTATCAATATTTTCCTGATTTTTTAATTTATTTATTGATTGGTTTATTTGTTTTCTTGGTGTTAAAAGTTTTTGAGTTCTTTATATATTCTGGATTTTAATCTGGTAATTTGAGGAGAAGTTGGCAAATATTTTTTTCCCATTCTGTAGTTTCCCTCTTTGTGCTCTGAATTGCTTCCTTCACTGTACAGAAGATTTTTAATATGATGCCCTGCCACTTACTGATCCTGGTTTTATTTCTTGAACTTTAGGGGTGTTAGTGTCTATGTTGGATTATTGAGCCTAAATGTTCTAGCATTTGCAGAGTTTCAGGCCTAACTCCTAGGTCTTTGATCCACTTTGAGTTTACTTTTGTGGCAGGGCCAGAGATAATGACCTAGTTTCATTATTCTACATGTGGATATTCAATCTTCCCAGCACCACTTGTTAAGATGGCTATCTTTTCTCTAACATACTTTTAGCATCTTTATCAAATATCAGATGGCTGTAAGAATGTAGATTTGACTCTGGGTCTTTTATTATATTCCATTGGTTTTCATGTGTGTTTTGGTGCTATTATCATGGTGTTTTTATTACTATAGCTCTGTAGTATAATTTGAGATCAGGTATTGTGATGCCTCCTGTATTACTCTTGTTGCTCAGAATTGCTTTGGCTATTCTGAGTCCCTTATTCTTTAAGGTATTTCTTTTTTTTCTAGTTCTATTAAGAATGTCATTGGTAATTTGATGGGGATTTCATTGAATGTGTACATTGCTTTTGGCAGTAAGGCCATTTTAAAAATAATAATTCTGTGTATCCAAGAACAAGGGAAGCCTTACCATATTCTACAGTCGTCTTCAATTTTTTTCTTCAATGTTCTGTAAATTTTATTATAGATATATTTCACCTATTTGGTTAGATTAATTACCAAGCATTTTTTCTGAAGTTATTGTGAAAGTCTTTCCTGATTTCTTTCTCAGCACAGAGATTGTTGGAGTATAGGAAGGTTATTGATTTATGAGTACTGATCTTGTATCCTGCTACTTTGCTGAATTCGTTTGTCAGCTGTAGAAGTATTCTGGTGGAGTTTTTTTGGTATTCTAGATATAGGATCATGTCATTAGCAGAGATAATTTCTTTTCCTATTTTGCATCCCTTTAATATTTTTCCTCTGGTTAGAGTTTTGAAAATTTTATTAAATAGAAATGGTAAAAGTGGATATACTTGTCTTCTTGAGTTTAGAGGAAATGCTTTCAGTTTTTCTCCATTTAGTGTGTTGTTGGCTTTGGGTTTGTCACATACAGCTGTAAATGTTGAGGTCAGTTCCTTCTATCCCTATTTTCTCCAGAATTTTTAATATGAATGGGTGATAGACTTTACCAAAGGCCTTTTCTGTATCTATCGAGATGGTAGTATGATTTTTTTCTTTTATTATCAAGATTTATTATCCCCATAAACAAACATAACTTTCTCTGAATGGGTTTTTTACCAAATAGGAATTATATATTGTTTGATGGAACTAACTTATAAAACTATTTAGGAATTCTTATTCTTCCCACTTTTTTACCTTATCTTCTTCCTTCCCTATCTCCTTTCTTGCTTCCTTGTTGGTCTTTCATTCATTTTTCTCCCTGGGCCATTTTCTACAATTACAATATTTAGAAAATTGTTCTTTTTATTTGAAATTATTTATAGAATTTCTATTATAAGTTCCTTTTAAAGTTTTCCACTAATGTGAAAATAACTGAGTCATTTTAAAGTGAATGGTGGCATTTAGAAAACCACAGTGACTTTTGAGGCCATAGGCTGTTTGTCACCACTCAGAGGGAACCTGAATTTCTGAGTCTTAATTGAAAACTGATGATTCCCATTAGACTTCATGTAAAAAATAAGTTTGTATTATGTTAAGCCACCAATAGTCTTCTATTAATCCATTTTTAAAAAATTGATGCTTTATAGACATAAACACAGGTGGAATTTTCTGTGGTATACTTACATATGCATATAGTATAATTTGTTCAATTTAATTCCTCACTTCCTCCCCATTCCTTTCCCTTGTTTCTCCCATAAACCCTGATCCTCTCCCCTACTGATCTCCCTTCAATTTTCATTGAATTGCCCTCTTTCCCCTGATACTTTGCTCTAGCTTCTGCATATGAAGTCTTTGACTTTGAGTCTGGCTTATTTCACTTAGCATAATATTCTCATTTCCATCCATTTACTAACAAAAACCATAATCTCATTATTTTTTTTATAGCTAAAACTCCATTATATATAAACCACATTTTATTTATGCATTTATCATTTGATGGGCACCTAGGCTGGTTCCATAACTTGGCTACTGTGAATTAGCTTATAATAAATACTCATGTGGCCATATCACTATATTCTGCTGATTTTAGTTCTTTTGGATAAATAACAAAGAGTGGGATAGCTGAGTTTGATAGATATGGTGTTTCCATCCCTAAGTCTTTTGAGGAATCTCCATACCGCTTTCTAAAGTGGTTCTACTAATTTGCAGTTCCACCAATAATATATGAGTGTACCTTTTTTTCTTACATGCTTGACAGCATTTATTCTTATTTGTATTCTATGAGTGTCATTCTGACTGGAGTGAGATGAAATCTCAGTGTAGTTTTGATATGCGTTTCCCTGATTACTCTGGATGTTGAACATTTTTTTTTCAAATATTCATTGGCTATTTATGTTTCTTCTTTTGATAAGTGTCTGTTTAGTTCATTTTCCCATTCAGTGATTGGTGTGTGTGTGTGTGTGTGTGTGCGCGCGCGCGCGTGCACGCGCGTGGGTGCATGCATTCGTTAAAGGTTTTTGAGTTTTTTAAAAATATATTCTGGATATTAATCCCCTGTTAGAGAAACAGGTGGCAAAGATTTTCTCCTATTCTGTAGGCTTTCTCTTCATGTTCTTAATTGCTTCTTTCACTGTGCAGAAACTTTTAAATTTGATGCTGTCCCATTTATTGATTCCTGGTTTTATTTCTTGAGCTTTTGGGTTCTTGTTAAGGAAGCCGATGCCTGTGCCACTATGTTGGAGTGTTGAGCCTAAGTTTTCTTCTGGCAGTTGCAAGGTTTCTAGTTTAATTTCTAGGTCGTTGAGCCACTATGAATTGACTTTGGGGAATAAATCTAACCAAGAAGATGAAAGACCACTACAATGAAAACTATAGAACACTGAAGAAAGAAATTGAAAAAGCACTTAGAGGTTTTAAATTAATATTGTCAAAACAGCTATACTACCAAAAGCACAGATTCAATGCAATCCCCATCAAAATATCAATGACATTCTTTGCAGAATTAGAAGACAGTCCTGATATTCATTTGGAAGAATAAAGGACCCATAAGAACCAAAGCAATACTGAGTAAGAAGAGCAATGCTGGAAGCCATCACAATCCCTGATCTCAAATTATACAGCAGAGTTATAATAATAAAAATAGCATGGTGTTGGCATTAAAACCGACATAAAGATCAGTGGAATAGAGTAGAAGAAACAGAGAAAAACTTGCATAGATATAGTCATCTGGTCATTATGAAAGCTTCCAAAAACATGTTGAAGAAAAGATAACCTTTTTAACAAATAATGCTGGGAAAACTTGATATCCATGTGTAGAAGGATGAAACTAGCCTTCAGTGCACAACAGTCAACAGGTTTTCTTAAGTAGGCTGTTTATTTATTTTTGTCTATTCTGTTTTTTTTCCAGGAACAGAAAATTTTGTATAAATTGAGTATTTTTATTTTTTGGGTCTTTAAAACTACATTGTATGTTTTTTAAATTAAGTGTTTTCAAGGTTTTTTTTTTTGTTTCATTTTGCTTAGTTTTAAGTATGGAATTCTTCATGAATTTGAGTGTCTTCCTTGCACAGGAAACATGCTAATCTCTCTATCATTCTATTTTGTGTGTGTGCTGATGAAGTGAGTGCTCAAGGTTTTCACAGGAGTACACAGTGAGGAACCATCCTTACCTGCACAAGTAAACCTCTGAAAAGTGTCAAACAGATATTTAGTCAAATTCAAGGCAGGGTTGCTAAATGTTTTTTCTTTTAATTTCTTCAGGTTCTCAAAATCCATTTTTGCAAATCATACTTCCAAAGAAAATCCAAGGAGAGAAAAGTGATAATTCAGAGGTAGATACAGTAAGAAATATTTTTATAATATAAATAATTATAGGAAATTTCATATTTCATTACATGGCTCTGAAATATATGAATCCCATTATAAAATATGAATGTAAATATCTAATATTACTACTGATAAGGAATTCAAAGTTCTGTTGATAAAAGCAAATATATATGTGAGAATGGTCAGCTTTGTTTATTAACATTTATCATTTCCTCATGGTAAATTATTTTTTTAAAGTTCAGCATAGAAAATAATGTTGAAGAATTAAGTGTCTTATCTTAGTGATATCAAGGAGATTTGGATGAAGAAAATATTCTTCAAAATGGCAAGAATATCTTTTAACAAAACCCTCTTTATTTATTCTTTACTCATGAAACTACAAATTCTCAAAGAAGGAGTAATTTTTTATTTTTCTATTTTTATTAAAAAGGGAGAAAGTTTATTTTATCCATTGATTTATTTAAGTATTTCTTTGGAGATGCCATGTGCTTATGCTGTTTCTTAGGATGTTAAACAAACAAACAAAATACAATTTAACAAGCCTAATAGTATAAGTGGACAATTTTTTTTCTAGTACTAGGGATTGAACCTGGGGCCACTCTGAACACTGAGCTATATCCCCATCCTTTTTTAGAAATTTTTTTGTTTTGAGTCAATGTCTTACTAAGTTGCCAGTGTTGGCCTTGAAATTGCCATCCTCCTGTCTCAAGTTCCCAAATCACTAGGTTTACAGATGTGTGCCACCATGCCTGGCTCAACTTTTTGATGACCTTTTGTTTTTTATGATTTCATTGAGATATAATTTTAAATTGCATTATAATTATACATAATAGATTCATGTGGCAGATTAATATATGCACGTAACATAATTTAGTCTTTCACTTCTTGGACAATTCTTTTCCCTGCCTTCCTTCCCCCTCTCGTCTCCTTCCATTATTCTCCTGATCTTGCCTCTTTTTTCTTGAGGTCCATGTTCTTTCTTTTTACTCTCTAGCTTCCACATATATTAGAAAATACACAGAGCCTGCCTTTCTGAGTCTGATTTCATGTAACATAATGCTTTCTAGTTTCACCCATTTTCCTGAAAATGACATTTCATTCTTCTTTATGGCTATATCAAACACCATTGTGTGTGTATGTGCAGTGTGTGTGTATCACATTTTCTTTCTTTAAAAAACTATATATACATATATATTTACTTATTTGTTGTACACAATACCTTTATTTTATTTATTTTTATGTGGTGCTGAGGCTCGAACTCGGTGCCTCGCACCTGCTAGGCGAGCACTCTATTGCTGAGCCCCAACTCCAGCCCCATGTATCATATTTTCTTTACTCATTCATTGATAGACAATTAGATTGGTCCCATAACTAATCTATTGTGAATTGTGTTACTACAAACACAGATATGTATATTGTACATTGAATTAAATTGTTTTGGATGAATGCTAAGGAATGGTATACCTGGGTTATATGGTGATTCCATTCCTAGTCTCTTAAGGAATCTCCATTATTGATCTCCATAGTTATTGTACTAATTTACAGTTTCACTGACTGTATATATGTGATCCTTTCCCCATATATCCTTGCCAGCAGTATTATTTATATTCTTGATGATTATCATTGTAACTAGAATGAGATAAAAATCTCAGTGTAGTATCAATTTGCATTTTTCTGATTGCTAAAGTTATTGAATATTTTTTTCATATATTTGTTGACCATTTGTATGTCTTTTGAAATGTATCTGTTTAGTTCATTGGGCCACTTATGTTTTATTTTTACAATGTCATTTTTTATTGATTCTTTTTATGTTATATATAACATTAGGATACATTTTGACATGATCACAAAAACATGGAATATAATTTGCTCTAATTTAGTCCCCTTCCCCTCTATTCCCATGCTTCCCTCCCTCTACTCTATTCATCTTTATTCAAATTATTTGTGATTTTATTTTTATTTTTTAAGTTAGTGTCTTGTGGATATTTGTGATGTTGAAATTCACTGTAGTATATTCACATATTCACCGTGGTATAAAAGTTTGTTCAAATTTATTCCCAGTCCTTCCCCATCCCATCTTTCTTTCCTCCCACTCAATCCCATTTATCTGTTTTATTGATATTTCCTCTATTTTGATAGAATCCCTTCTCCCCCTTTTTCCTTTATCTCTCCCCACCCCCATTTTGAGTTAGCCTCTGCTATTAAATATTTGACCTTTGACTTTTGGGACTGGCTCATTTCACTTAGCATAATAGTCTTTATTTCCATCCATTTACCAGCAAGTGCCATAATTTCATTCTTCTTTATGACTAATACTCCATTGTGTGTGTATATATATATATATATGTATATACACATATATATACATATACATATACATATATATATAAAATCACATTTTCTTTATCCATAAATCTGTTGAAGGGCACCAAGGGTTGGTTCTATACTTTGGCTATTCTAAATTGTGCTGCTATAAACATTGATGTGGCTGAATCACTGCAGAATGCTGATTTTAAATCTTTTGGATATATGCCAAGGAGTGGGATAGCTGGGTCATAGGATGGTTTCATTACTAGTTTTTTGAGGAATCTCTATACTGCTTTCCAGAATGGTTGCACTAATTTTCAGTCCCTCAAACAATGTATGAGTGTTCCTTTGCCTCCACATTCACACCAATATTTATTATTATTTGTATGCCTGATAATTGCCATTCTGACTGGAGTGAGATGAAATCTCAATGTAGTTTTGATTTGTATTTCCATGATTGCTAGAGATGTTGAATATTTTTTCATATATTTGTTGCTGTATTTCTTCTTTTGAGAAGTATCTGTTTGGTTCTTTTGCCCATTTATTAATTGCATTTTTGTCAAGTTTTTGAATTCATTATATATTCTGGATATTAATGCTCTCAGGAGCAGGTGGCAAAGATCTTCCATTCTGTAGGCTCTTTGTTCATGCTCTTAATTGTTCCCTTGCTATGCAGAAGCTTTTCAATATGATGCCATCCATTGATTTTATATTTTATTTATTGCACTTTAGGAGTCATATTAAGGAGGTCGGTTCTTGTTCCAACATGTTGGAGTGTTGGGCCTATATTTTGCATTTTTCTGATTGCTAAAGAGCTTCAGGTTTATTTCCTAGATCTTCAATGCACTTTAAATTGAATTTTGTGCAGGGTGAGAGGGGTCAAATTTCATTCTTCTATGTATGGATTTCCAGTTTTCTCAGCACCATTTGTTAAAAAGTCTATCTTTTATCCATCGTATGTTTTTGGCACCTTTGTCTAGTGTCAGATAACTGTATTAATGTGAGTTTGTTTCTGTGTCTTCTATTCTGTTCCATTGGTTTTCATGTATGTTTTGGTGCTAGTACCATGCTGTTTTTTTACTATAGCTCTGTAGTATAATTTGAGATCCAGTATTGTGATGCCTCCAACATCACCCTTTTTGCTAAGAATTGCTTTGGATATTCTGGGTCTCTTATTTTTTCAAATGAATTCCAGAATTGCTTTTTCTGTTTTTATGAAGAATTGATATTTTGATGAGGATTGTATCAAATCTGCTCTTTTGGAAGTATGATCAGTTTGATAGTATTAATTATGCCTACCCCCAAAAATGGGAAATCTTTCCATCTTCTAAGGTATTTTTCAATTTACTTCTTTGGTGTTCTGTAGTTTTTATTGTAGAGTTTCTTTACCACTTTTGTTAGATCGAGTCCCAAGCATTTTATTTTTATCTTTTGAGTTTATTGTGAATAGGATAGTTTTCCTAATTTCTTTTTCAGCTCATTCATTATTAGAGTATAGGAATGTGATTGATTTGTTTGTTGATAAATAAATTGCTGAATTTATTTATCAGCTGTAGAATTCTTTTGGTGGAGTTTTTTGTGTCTGCTAAATATAAGTTCAGGTTGTCAGCCAACAGAGATAATTGGAGCTCTTCTTCTATTATTTATGTCCCTTTAAACTTCTTCTCCCTGATCGCTCTGGCTAGACTTTCAAGCACTGTGTTGTATAGAAATTGTAAGTGTGGGAATCCTTGTTTGTTCCTGTTTTTTAAGGATGTGCTTTCAGCTCCTTTAATGGACTCTCCTTCTACTGTAATGCATCCCTATGCTGGTTTTCATTTCTTCTTCATGAAATATTTCATTGAGTATGTTTTGTAATGTAGGTTTTGTGATTCTGAATTCTTTTAGCTTCTGTTTGTCATGGAAGGTTTTTATTTCATCTTCAATTCAGAAACTTAATTTTTCTGGGTATAGTAATCCTGGTTAAAACTCATTTTCTTTCAGAGCTTGGTATATATTATTGCATGCCCTCTTCCTTTTAGTGTCTGGGTGGAGAAATCAGTTGAAATTTGAATTGGTTTTCCTATAAATGTGACAATCCATTTATCTCTTGAAAAATTTTAAATGCTATCCTTATTCTCTGTTAGACATTTCATATAATGTACCTTGGTGTTGATATACTTTGATTTTTGTCTATTTGGAGTTGTATATGCCTCTTGTATTTACATTTTCTTCTCACTCTTTAGGTTTGGAAATTTTTCTAATATTATTTTACTAAAAAGATTGTGCACCCCTTTAGTTTGTAGTTCAGATCCTTTCAGCTACCTTAATAATTCTTAGATTTGGTCTTCTGCTGTTTTCCCATATTTCTTGAATATTCTGGTTGTGGTCTTTTAACATAATTTCTTTATGGTCAACATTAAATTCAAGGTCTAAAAATCTATCATCAAAGGGTCTAATCTATTGGTAATACTTTCCATTGAATATTTAATTTCATTTATTAATTCTCTCATTTTGAGGATTTCTGTTTTTTTTTTTTTTTTTCAGAACCTCTATCTCTTTATTGAAGGGACCTTTCACCTGTATTTTTTTCTCTAATTTCACTCCGTACATCATCTTTCAATTTGATGAACATTTAAACTATGAACTTTCTATATTCCTTCTCTGACATTTACTGTAGTGTCAGTGTAGTCATTTGTTGAAGCATTTTGAGTTATTT